TGCCCTTCTGGAAAAGGCACTATGTTCTTTTTTCAGAATCTGGAGAGCAATGGAAGTACCTCTGGGCTTTCTCTGTCTTGCTCTCAGGGTCTTCCAAACACACTCTCTGTGAAACTGAACGTGAGGCAACTCTTCCAGAGGCACAGATGAGTATGTGAATGCCATTTTAAACCCATCTTGACCTTCGGAGAACTGTTTTGGTGCTTTCATGTACTTCTGTTGAAATAAAACCTAATTAAGGCTAGTTTAGATGGAAATTTTATCTTCTCAAGATAAACCAGCTTTTTCTTTTGGCTTCTTGATGCCCTTTTACCTTCCTCTTCAACTACCACACAATTATTTGCACTTTCAAAAATCATGTTGTTATTAAGGCCATTTTAAAATTAAAGAAGCACCAGGGCTGTTGCACATTTAAAATATGTTGAGGCAAAACCACATACAGGTGGTTTATACTTTGAACCATTCAATAAGTGGTCTAGAAAAGAGAGCTATTGGTTTTAATCTTGTTCTTCCTGCCTTGGACAAGCAGCCCAATGGCCTCCTGGTGTGTCTACCTGTTCTTTAAGTGAAATATCATAAGTCAAGATATGGATATGCATATCCAAAAGATCAGACTAAGGCCCTGATAGTATGTGTGACCAAAAGATTTTCCTCTTCTACTTGTAAAACAAAACTCAGAAGTTGTGAGAGAAATGGCTAGATTTTAAAGGCAATCTGTAATGGCTGAATCTTTTATTTTTGCCTCTTGAATCATACAGCAGTTTGTGAGAGTCAAACATTTGATAGCTGATTGAAAATAAATGAAATGTAAGCGCATTTCAGTGGAAGTAGGCCAGTTGCTAACATTCTCTTCTATCTCTGAAAGTTAAATTTCATTATTTAATTGGATAAAAATCAAGAGCAATATTCGTCACAAAGGGGAATTTCTATGTAAGTTCATGTTATTAGAGGGGAAAATGGTCTCATGGCCTTTATGGGTGCTGATTCTGTCATTTCTTATGAATGGTATTTGCAGTTGATCTTCTCAAAAACTTCATATTCAGGTACCATGTCTTTGAGAACATGGTTCTTGGATAAGCGTGCGGCTTCCACAGTATTGCGCCAGGCTTCTGCTATAGCCAGGCATGTTTTCTGTGGCTGAATTAGGCCTGGAGAATGTTGCATCTTAAAACCTGCTTTCCAGTGTGCATTTGTAGAGCATAAGCCATCATCCCTCTGTAGACTCAGTACTTTCTACAAGGGATGGAAGAATCAAACCTTAAGTGCCACAGGATATTGGAGGGGTAAGGAGAAAACAGTACAAGAACACAAGTCTGACCTTGTACTATACGGTTTTATATGGAAGCTTTCTATAGTTATGCCTATATAACTAATTATATTTTTCTAACTACTTCTGAACAAGTGTTAATTTAGTTATTTAGTATAGTATTGAGTTCCTTAATACGGAAAATTTCATTTCAGGTTTCTTTGCTTTTTTTTTTTGTACCATTGTAGTATCACAGCTATGGCAATATAAAGAAAGTAAGTTATTCTTTGTATTTATCGTCAGTCACTTGCTTTTAAATCAGTTACATGCTTTTAATAAATTTGGAAGTCATTTTGGTATGGCTATGATAAGATGTATCACAAATTATACTCTACCAGAGTATGACTGCCAAACAATTGAAATTAATTAGGAAATGTTTAGATTACATAGATGGTATTATATCAACACATAGGATTTTAAATGCTTAAGTAGTTTTTAGGGCAGAAATTAATTATTTAAAAAGACAGTAGTAAAATTCTTTACATATTCGAGGACTTAAGCTTATCAAGCAGTATATCATAATTGGTAAATTGTTGTACATTAATAAGAACACACTCTAAGCTTTACTTTATAAAAATGTAAATAAATTCACAACTTTTGAAATTTTATGTGGTTGACACAAGATTTTTGTAACTTCATAGAATAAAATATATGTACTTTCTTATGACAAAAAAAAAATGTGCCCTATGAAGGTTACAACATGAATGAGCCTGATTCCCCAACTATCTTCTAAGCTTTGGTGCATGAGGGTCTAAAAGACTCTGAACATTCCTTAAGAAGCTTTCCAGAGTATAAGTTTAAAAAGCTTATCCCTATTATCAGAAAAACTCCTGAATAACAGCGAAGCAGTTCTCCATGTAAAATGGGTTCTGATCATTTGAAAGAGCAGAATACGTGTGGAGTTTTGGCAGGGGGTTGGGGGTGTCTGTTTTAACAACACATGTTATGCCTCATAATAACATGCAGATAGAGGCAAACAAACTCACTACTGACCCTCTACTTTACAATCTTTACAATATATAAATGCATAACCTCCATAGCTATTTAGAAAATTGAAAGTATTTATATCCAAACATGTTAACCACATTCACAAAAATATTTATATCTAAAGACAATACTAATAACAAAAACACATCCAGAGGTCAGTACTTGGTAAAGAGTAGATTCAGTTGTCATTCAGATTAGTGGCTACTATTACTTGTGCCATTTGGGTTTGTTTTAAGTATTTGTATTTAAATATAAGACACCTGTAGACTATATGGCAGACAACTATAATGCAAAAAATTGAACATTTCACATTATATTAACAGTGGTAAAATGAGAACAGTATGTTTTCTAGAGTTTTCAAATGGAAAAGTATACATTTATTTGTGTGTATATACACATATACTGATTACTTTCTTCCCCCCTATTTCTTTATTGAATGTCTCCCAATATTTTAGAAAAACATTTTGGAAATACCATGTGTTTTTAATCGCTAAAATATTATTAACTAAATAATCCCTATTCATTAAAAATGTATTTTCTAATACAACTAAATAAACTTCTGTCAAGGCCATTATTGAATTACACAACAAAGTAGAGAGATGAAATTATCTAAACATTATAATTCTCTCTATAAAAGTAATTCAAAAATGCAATCAATCATTTATTGGCTCTCTATAAATTTGATATAACTAGTGCCTATTCTGTGCTTGGGTCTTTTGGTATTTGTATGTGTGTGTGTATTTTTGGTATATATGTTTATGTACATAAATATATAATTTATACCTATGTATAATTTTATGTACATATATAATTTATAAATATTCATGAGAATATCTGATCAAACAAAACAAGTATAATGGCCTAACATTCTATAAAATTTAGCATGGAGAAATCATGCAAGAAAGAAAGGCTTCATGGAGGAGGTGGACCGTGACTAGGCTCAGAAGAAATTATCCAACTTGGTTTGACCAACAGGAAGAAGAAAACATGAAACTTTTTATAACTAATCTCAAAATAATTTGGTTTCTTACTGGATTTACTTATGCAGTGGATATTATTGCTTCCATAGTGTTCAACCCATCAACCACCAGTGAAATTGGAAAGGAAGAGTTAATTGCTGAGTTCAAACAGCTATTCAGTTTTTTCTTCATTATATCAAAAGCTGTCACAGTTCTATCCAGTGGTAGCTTTCCTTAAAAGAATAAAGATATTCTGATTATAAGAAGCAGAAAAATCCTGGGGGAAGAAAATATGTCTTGGCCTTTCTCACCTCTCCAAAAAGTAGAGGAATTTAATGGTAAAAACTCTTGCACTATAATGATCCTAAGAACCATCAGCCAAAAATGATGGCCTAGCTTCTCTCGTTAGCATACTCCAGACTAGGAGGTATTTTATTATAGAATTATATTTTGACTTAGAGTATTTTTTCATAATATATTTAATTTTCATAATATATTTAGTTGGACATGATTAACCTCACCTTCAAAGTAACATCACAGAAAATATCATCTGGATAGTACTTTCAACTAGTTCACATTATAAAATATTGAACTACATTTGCATATGATTTCAGTAAATCAGGAATCTTGAGCCAAATTTCCTCCAATATGAGCAATGTTTAGGGAGTCATTTGGGGATTTTTCAGTAAAACATTAACTCTTTCAGAAGGCTAGGGCAGAGTGACCCCTACCACTTAGCTACTAAAGTTAAGGGGGCTTAGAAACCATTACCATGTCCATGTGCTGTTTTTTCATCCTAAAAGCTTTACATTGGTCAGGCTGTGTTGTACGTCATGTCTTTGCAACCATTTTCATAAAATACTGCAAATCCATAATGTCTTCCCAAGTGATTTCAAAGTACTTATATATTTATTCTTGTAACTTTAAGGTGGCTCTTCCTAACCATGTGACATGTCACAACGATTTATTTAAAGGAAAAATCCACAGCCTGATAACTATGTTGAATTCAGAATGTGCTCCTAATAAAAGTCTATACAGATTCTGCCCAATGCCATATACGAAGAAATTTCCATTTCATTTAGAATTCTTTGGCAAGTATTGAATTCATTTAAGCAGTTCAAAAAGAGAGACAGAGAGAGAGATCCATCATTTTTCTGCTAGTAAAGTAAGAAGATTATGTAAGCCAGAGGAAAAATATAGCTCAAAGTTGAAATATAATGACTGTGACTAATGTTAATGTGCTGTTCTTCCTTTCTAAAATTACAGAAACATGGACAGTAGTTAGAAACAACTGGTAATGGTCTTTGCTCTGAAAAATTCCATCGTAAGAAGTGGAAATTACAATTTAATTTGATGCATTTTAATATAATCAGTAGTGAATGTCAGCATACCAAACTTTTATCAAACTATTTTTGATATGGCCTGAGAATTAATTTTTAAACTATTTCATATGGCATCCATATATAAATAGAGATCATAAAACAAATTAACCAGTACAATTCATCCTTTCCAAATCACCCACATTGAATGCTAACCTTTTTCTGTCTGAATCAGGTCAGTAGTTATTACATTGTTTTAAATATTAGGACTTTAATTATGTTAAATTATTAGTACATAATTTATCAGCAATGTTAATAGAGTCAAGTGTGATCACTATCATTTTTTCACACAATGACAAAGAGTTTCCAAATTTGCTGAATAAAAGGGGAGAAAAAAAATCACAATTTGCAATGGGGTTTTGTTTCTAGAAATTAAATGCAACCAGCTCATCTGAAGGAAGCACAGTTGATGTTGCTCCACCCCGAGAAGGTGAACAAGCTGAAATTGAACCTGAGGAAGACCTTAAACCGGAAGCTTGCTTTACTGAAGGTAAACAAGCTCTAATATGATTAAAATGCAATCTCCCCTCTTTTCTTACAGCGACTGAAAATACCTCACTTGAGGGAACTATTTCAAAGAAATGGTAAAGGCATGTTTATCTTTGTTTTTCTCTTTTCTTCTGAAAAGTTAATTTATCTATATTTCCAGATTATATTATAGCAGTGACTGTGCCTGGACAATTAAGATGATCTGACATGTCTTTTTTGTTGTTGTTTTCTTTATCCTCCAGAGTGTGGAGAAGCTAACCCTATGAGATAAATGGCATTCTGGAATGTCATCTCATTGATACAGACTGCAATCCCTTCAGACCTCATTGGCAGTGTTGTGATTTGATTTATAGATGCTGCAGTAATTACACCCCATCCCTCACAGTTTCAAATGTGGTTAATTTGTGCTGTGATCAGAGCTGTTTGGGGATGCAGATGTACTGTAGAGCCTTGACAGGCAAACAGTAGTTGTTCTCACAGCGATCAGTACAGTCTCTTGCACACAAATCAATAAAGATTTGCTGATTCAATGTGATTGGATTTAATCCAATGAGTAGTAGCTCAGAGTTAGAGCAAAGAATGGATGGAAATGAGAAATAATATGAAAACTAGGAGGGGGAGGACAAAGGAACAGCGATACTGACTAACAAGATGAGTCATAGGTGTAACTAAGAAAAGCACTGAGGCTGAAAATAAATTAGCTTGGGAAAACTGACAGTGGCTGATACCTAGGAAGACAGGGGCCTTTTCTGTGCATGAAAAGAAGGAAGTGAAAAATTCAGGATCACATCAAAAAATTAATAAACAATTTGAACATGCAGCTTTTCCCCAAACCTGAGAGGTGTTCTTAGACCCTATTTACACCAATGGCCTTCAGGCAAAAAGAGATTCTAACTAGTGTTAAGAATGAATATTTAAGGGTGCCGGGGTGGCTCAGTCAGTTAAGTGACTGCCTTCAGCTCAGGTCATGATCTCAGGGTCCTGGGATCGAGCCCCACATCAGGCTTCCTGCTCGGCAGGAGGTCTGCTTCTCCCTCTCCCACTCCCCCTGCTTAAGTTCCCTCTCTTGCTGTCTCTCTCTCTGTCAAATAAATAAATAAAATCTTAAAAAAAAAAAAAAAAAGTTTATCACCAAAAAAACAATAGTTTAAAAAAAAAAGAAAGAAAGAAACTATTTATACTCATGCAACTCTTGATAAAATTATTCCTTGAATTTTAGGTGCCTGGCTAAATATATACCTCTGAGAATGATTTACTGTATAGGAAGGATGCTGAAGATAACTAAGGAATGAAGTAGCCAGTTACCTGTAAATGATGATCTGAGATTGGCATGGGAGAAAGCAACAAAGTTTATTTTTTCCTATCTAAGATTAGAATATATTTTCTAGGAAAGGTGGAGGTGGGTGGGAAAGCAAAGAAGGTGGGTAGGGTGATGGGCAAAATTGATAAAGGGGATTAATAAGTACAAACTTCCAGTTTTAAGATAAATAAGTCATGGAGATGAAAAGTATAGCAAAGAGAATACAGTCAGTAATACTGTAATAACTTTGTATGTGACAGATGGTGACTACACTTATTGTGGTGAGCACTTAGTATGTATGCGATTGTTGAATCCATATGTTGTACAAAATACTTTTTTTTCTAATTTCTTATATTTAATGTTATATTTTAGGATGTATTAAAAAGTTTCCATTCTGTCAAGTAAGTATAGAAGAGGGCAAAGGAAAGGTCTGGTGGAATCTTCGGAAAACCTGCTACAGCATTGTTGAACACAACTGGTTTGAGACTTTCATTGTCTTCATGATTCTTCTCAGCAGTGGTGCTTTGGTAAGTGAAATGCAAAGTGGTAAGAGTCAGGTTCTAATGAAATAACTTATTTTCTGAAAATATCACAAAGAGACAATGAGTTTAAGATGCAAAAGAGGAGGTGTATCTATGCCTGGCAGAGCATGGCACCCAGGGTTTAACTATGCAAAATTCAGTACATAATAAATCAGACCTATGAACAGCCAGATGGAATTTCTCATCTGGTGTTTATCTAATAGATGTTTTCCTCACTGAGACAACCATTTACAGAGACACCCTGTAACGACGTTAACTTCCATGTCAAATACCATCCAGTTCACCCTAATAATTATATTAACATTTATGGACTAAAAGTGTATTTTGTTTTCTTTATGTATAATCAATTTACTCTTTCAAAATAAGCCAGATCAGTCAGGGAATCATTGAAAGTAATATTGGAATAGGCCAAGTCTATCCCCCATTAACAGAACTTCTAGTTATTTCCTGAGTTCATATTATTTCTCTAAAAGCATGTCTTTATAGCAGTTAATTGAGATAGAGATTTTGGGGTGAGAGGCAGGAAAGAAAGAACATACTAAATCAGTAAAGATACTGACATTTCCTTGCCAATATTTTCTGTTAGTTTTAGTCTTCAGCTTTTGTCTGGTGTTTGTCAGATATTAGCCAATATTTATCAAATTACTGCTTTGTACCCAATATTATACTAAGCAATTTTATCAAGTATTTGGGGAAGGCCAGCCATTCAAATAAAATAAAAGCATTTTTTGATTCGCAGGCTTTTGAAGATATATACATTGAACAGCGAAAGACTATCAAAACCATGCTAGAATATGCTGACAAGGTCTTCACTTACATATTCATTCTGGAAATGCTCCTCAAATGGGTAGCTTATGGATTTCAAACATATTTCACCAATGCCTGGTGCTGGCTAGATTTCTTGATTGTCGATGTAAGTATCCTGAGTGATTTTTATGAAATTATTTTTTAAAGAGGCAAGTTTGACATTTCATATATTCCTGATTAAAACCTTGATTTTGAAAACCTAGCTTCACCAATGCTGACACAGCTACGCAGTTTAAAAAAAAACTACAATAAACATAAAAATTAGGAAAGTTTCATGGGAAATGGTAGAAGAGGTCCTAAAAATGTGGACAGTGGTAAGGAGAACACAGAGTGTTCTATGCCACAAGTAGACAGTTCTTTTTCTGAAAGTTAAGGACCTCAAGGTAGGGAATAGCTAAAAATCTGTTGACAGATCTAAGCACTTAGCCTATTAACAGTTACATTTTAAAAAAACAACTCCAGGAGATAAAATCAAGACAGATTTGGGGCTCCTGGGTGGCTCAGTTGGTTAAGCATCTGCCTTCGGCTCAGGTCATGATCCCGAGGTCCTGGGATCGAGTTCCGCATCGGGCTCCCTGCTCAGCGGGAAGCCTGCTTCTCCCTCTCCCCACTTGTGCTCTCTCTTGCTCTGTTGGTATCTCTCAAATAAATAAATAAGTAAATAAAATCTTCTAAAAAAAAAAAAGGACAGATTTGGGGCCAGGAATTGCAAGATTGCATTTTAATCCCTTACTAGAGTACCTGTTACTAAATAATGTTAAAATAACCCATTTACTGTATTCATTCGGTCACATACCCAGAGAGACAATATAAAGTACATTTCCATTCTTAAATCAGTAGTTAGATATCCCAGTTGCTATTCAGAAATTTACCATGCAAAGAGTTAGGTGTAGGAGCCCTGCTCTGAATCTGATTACCCTGGGGTGGGCAGTCATAAAAACATTACCAATTATAGGATCTGTCTGACTTGCAGCTTATTTTCTCATTCCAAGCAATGAAGCAGCACTGGGGCAAAATGACAGTCATTTGGTTCTTTGTAGTCTGTGATATTCCATTGCACAAGGTTTTACAGCCTCCCAACAAAACAAGGTACTTTAAGCACTATCTCTAGCCGTTCCCTAGCAATCATAAAGCACTTGATTTTTAGCTCTAACACTTGCCAATACGAATCAATAATTGCTGTATGTGTACATTCATTCTTTTTATCATTTTGACAAGTGTGGGCCTATCTAAATTCTACTCCCCTTTCTCACACACATACACACTTAGAGTGCTATAACCAAAATGTGTTTAACCCTTTGAGTTGATAAGAAATCTGCTACCAAGTCACTTTAATAGAGCAGAAATGATTTCCAATTTCCATGGTTGGCTTTTAATGGATAATAGAGGTCAATTTTAATGTTATCCTGAAAAGCTATCCATAAAGGGAAGTTTAATATTCTTATAATCTGAAGCTGGAATGAGCTTCAAAGAATATCTAAGGCTTTATTCTAGACATTAGGGAAACTGAAGCCTCAGTTTAAATAATTTTCCTAAGATAACACAACTACTTAGTAACAAAGCTGAGATTAGTATCCAAATTTCCTAATTCTCAATTCAGTTCTTCTTTACTCCAAGGGTTTCCTATCTAACTGCTATAAATGTAATACTCTATTTTCAGACTGGCTTTGGGATTCAGCATTTATAATCTCCAGCTTTTCCGTGAAATAATGGAACACTGAATACATTTAAGAATCCTTTTTGGTTCAGAAAGATTTTGTCATGCATGAAGATCATTTACAAATGTGATAGAACTCCAGAAAATTCTGAAATTTACTGAAATATTTACATTTACTAAAAATTTTACATTTACTGAAATACTACATTGTACTTCAAGTATTTCCATACATTTGGCCCATATAGAAAATATGAGTAAGATGTAAAAATTTCTCAAGAGCAGGGGTTTTGTAGCCTATTTGTATCCTTAGATACACCTAATATAGATACTTAAGTATCTATTGAATAATATCTAAATGAATAGATTTAATTTCAAAGAAATTACTTCCCTTTTAGTGAGTCTCAATTAGTACACTGAAACTGGGTAATTAAAGTCTTCTACTTTGGGACAAGTTATGTTATCTTAAATGAGTCTATTCTTCTTTACAAAGCCAGGGTGGAAATATGTGGATTAATATAACCTCAGTAAATGTAGAGATAAAACTGTTTTTGAAAGTACAAGTAAAACATACTTAAAAGAGCTTCACCAGTCCATCAGGTATATTGATGTAAAAAAACTAAAAAGCTACCAAAAGCTTACCAAGGGAAAAAAAAAAAATCTGAGGTGTAAGTAAAGTACTTCAAACCAGAAGGAATAAGCTTTCAAACCTTAAAAAATTTATTTGTGTAAAAAATGTAATCTCTTCAATTCCTTACCTAAAAGTAAAAGTAGACTGCAATGGGATATCTATCCAAACTCCTAACATTTATTCATTTATTTGATAAATGTGTTGAGCACCTAAAAAGGGCCATATGCCATTTTAAACAAAAGAGGTATGAACACGAACAGACCAAGCCCTATTAGGGCTTACACCTTGTGGGAGGAAGGAACAAACAGTAAAGAGGTAAACAAGTAATATTTAAAAATAAGCTATTTTGTCACAGGTGATATGATTGTTTTTCCTATTTGGGTTTTTGCTTCTTGGCTTTGTTTTTTGTCATGAAGAAATGTTTCACATTGATTTGGTCAAATTTATCAGTCACATTTTTTTCTCCTTCTTGGTTTTTGTTCATGCTTCTGAAGGCCCTTTCTTATCAAGATTATTAAAACATTTTTCCAGGTTTTTCCCCAGTTTTACAGTTTGAGTTTTGTTTGTGTTTCTTCATCCATTTTTATTTTATATTTTAATTTTTTATCAGTCTGAAATTTATTTTGGTATAAAGTGTGAAGTTAGGATCCAATATTATTTTCCTCAAAATGGTCTCTCATTTATTTTTTTCACCTCTCATTTGAAATGCTACCTTTATCTACATGCTAAATCTCAGCATGTCTTAGGCCTAATTTGGACTTTGTCTACTAATTTCTTTGTCTACTAATATGACAGCTTTAATTACTGCAGATTTATAATTGGTTTTAATTCTAGTGGGGTCAGTCCTCTCTGTTCTTCTTCTTAAAATAGTATTTTAAGTTATACTTTTTCATGTTAATATTTTAAAATGTATGTAGTTCCAAAAGACTCCTACACAACTTTTTAAAAAATACATGAAAAAAATTATTGGTTAGCACCTAAAATAATTATAGTATTGCTTATAATAGTATTTCACTTTATTCCCTTTTTTTTGATGTCAACAATAATATATCCGCGAATATTGAATTCTTCTACTTTTCAAATCCATATAGCTCTTATTTCTTTCTCCAGAAAATGTTAAAAAAATAACATTGGTAGTGGGCATAGTCTTTGAGCCCACTTTAATGAGAATGCTTCTAGATTTTGCCATCAAAATTTATGCAAGTGTTTGGACTGAAATGTATCATTGGAATGCATGGAAGTGATTACATGGTTTTCATTTCAACTTGCTCATACTGAACCTTAAAAAAAATTATCTTTAGCCATTTTAAAGAGAAATACATTCATATTATATGGTTCATTAACCAATCACAGAACTCCTAGGGTCTTCTTCAGAACCATCAAATCCCGCCTGCATTATTTCTCTTTCTCAGTCTCACTGCCATAGGAATGCAGAAAGGTGTGGATGACAACTAAACCATCCCCCTGAAACTTCTAACAGAGAGTTTTATATATTTGCTATACTGTGAGGCACCTAGATTCATATAAATTTATACTAAAAATTCAGTCTTTGTCAAAGGGCTTCTGTTACACTTGCACACATTAGCAAGAGTGCCTTTTATGTTTAGCACATAAGAGATGAGGATAAAAATACTATATATTGAAAGGTTGGGGACATGTTTGCTGAGGTGGAAAACACACTGGACTAGAAAACAGAAGACATAAATTCTAGTTATGGTCTTGCCCCTTGCTACCTTTTCCTAGACTAGTCATTTAACCACTCTCAGACAGAGATAATAAGTAAAAAAGCACACTACCAATATGTGTTGGTATCTTCAAATTTTAAGTACACTGCAAATCTTTAAATTATTTATTTCAAAATTGCCTTTAAGGTATATTAAGTTTTTTGCATTAGTTAACTCAATAAATGAGTTTTTGTCCTACACAAAACAGAATGAGGTCTATTAAAAGAAGCTCAGTTCACTAAGGCCCCACTTCTCTAGGCATTCACAGAGTCACCCCACTGTGGGGTGGTTATATGCAAGTGGGTCTCCCAGCCTTTGAATCTCGAATTTCCTATCCATCTGATTTTGGCCATTGCCTTTCTTTTCTTTTCAAACCATAAACTTCCTTACTTCAGGTTGTGAGGAATTTGCAGCCACTTCCCCTTAAATGCCCAGTTCTCAAATAAAGGACTTGGAGAGCATGAGGGAAGTCTTCCGAAAGGAGATCCAGAAGCCTAAAGAAGCTGTTAATGTTTCTGAGGCAAAGGAGCCCAAAACATAGAAGCCTGCATGTTCTCAAATAACCTTTCCCATCTTTCCAGTCTTCTGCAGCAGCGAACAGTAGACAGAAATGACTAGCTCAATAAATTATCCTGCCACTAGTCATTTATTTTTCTGTTAAATTATCTGAGATGGGGGCGCCTGGGTGGCTCAGTAGTTAAGCGTCTGCCTTCGGCTCAGGTCATGATCCCAGGGTCCTGGGATAGAGCCCTGCATCGGGCTCCCTGCTCCGTGGGAAGCCTGCTTCTCCCTCTCCCACTCCCCCTGCTTGTGTTCCCTCTCGCTGTGTCTCTCTCTGCCAAATAAATAAATAAAATCTTTTAAAAAAAATTTCTCTGAGATGTATGCTAAATTAAACAACAAGGAAAAAGTGGCTCCATTTGCTTTTAAAGCTTCAGTTCTAGTTTTTATGTCACCCTTTAAACCATGTATTCTTGGGCAGATCAGTCTCCATCCTACCATTACAAGGATTCATTTAGATCCATTTTCAACAGCCCTTCTTGCAAAAATTAAGCCCCAGTGCCTTTAAACCATCCAGTGGATATAATGAATTAACTCCTCCTTATGCATCAAGGAAAGTACTACCTTTGTACAATCCTTGCAAGAACTGGGCACCTGGGTGGCTCAGTCGTTAAGCGTCTGCCTTCGGCTCAGGTCATGATCCCAGGGTCCTGGGATCGAGCCCCGCATGGGGCTCCCTGCTCGGCGGGAAGCCTGCTTCTCCCTCTCCCACTCCCCTGCTTGTGTTCCTGCTCTCGCTATCTCTCTCTCTGTCAAATAAATAAATAAAATCTTTAAAAAAAAAAAAAAAACAATCCTTGCAAGAACTGAAAAGATAGTCACTTAAACCATTTCCTGCGTTTTGTGGTTCAGATGAGGAACAAATTTTTGATAATGTATGCAAACGGTTAAGATATGGTTTTGAAGTCAGATCACTTGGGTTCAAGATCCACCCAATTTCACCTCTTATTACCATGCATCCCTTTTCTTGGGGGTGGGGTGAGGGGGGCTCAACTCCCTCACCAGTGAAAAGGCAATAGTAATGGTATCTACTTCTTAAGATTTATATGCATAAGGCACTTAGAACAGAACCCTGCATATAGTAAATGTTCAATAAATGTTATACTGAAAGAAAATCTAAGCAAATAAAGTGTCTTCCTCTCAAAAAAGGGCGTGTCTTCTTTAACCTTTCATATATTTAAGTAAAATTTAGTATATGTGTAAATATCAGAAGATGTATTATCACTATGAATTATAAGTCCGGAAGTTTGGATGAACATTTCTTCATTATTATGAAACTACATCATGGTCTGATAACATTTTTTTCAGGTAAAATTATTCCATTATTTATTGATCCAACACATATTAACTAAAGCGTATTTAACCAGACAGTATTAGGCACAGTAAGAGAAGAATGTTTCATCCCAGCGCATAAAAAGTTTATGTGACCTGGAAGGGGAAAGAAGATATCTAATCAATTGATTCTATTAAATGGGAAATGCCTCCAGTACACATAACCAAGATACTACATAAGTTCAGGAGAGAAACCTGATTTCCAATCAATGATATTAAGCACAGATCCATGGAGGATCTGGCTATTGAACCAAATCCTGACTCATCAGTGATATATGCACAGGTTGAAAGGGGTTCCATGGGGTGAAATATCTTATAAAATGGGCAAAGATTGTTTTCATTGGTAAGAAGAGCAATAACATGAAATGAGGCTGGCAATATAAGATGAACTCACTACGTGGAAGATGAAGGCTGCGCCAAGGTATGTCTGAATTTCATTTAGTTGGTACTAAAGAATAGACACCACATCCTATGCCTTTAGCAGACAGTTTATTTCTAGGTGAACTATTAATATCTTTTCTTTTTGCAGGTTTCTTTGGTTAGCTTGGTAGCCAATGCTCTCGGCTACTCAGAACTTGGTGCCATTAAATCCCTACGGACATTAAGAGCTTTAAGACCTCTAAGAGCTTTATCCCGGTTTGAAGGCATGAGGGTAAGAAGAACAAAAGCTCTCTGATGATTCATATCAGAATTAAATGTAGGTAATGATTTAGATACAGAGGAGTACCATACTCCTCTGATATTTACTTCATAGAATTACAGAATTTCAGAGCAGGAATCTTAGGTGTCATTAAGGCCAGCGGCCTGAAACTGAGATTTATTTCAACGGGTCCTCAGAAATTGTTTGTGGCAGAACTAGGACTGGAATCCAAGTCTTCTGATGATAGTTAAAGATGTTTCCACAACATCCAAAAAAAACATGTACTGCCATTTATTTCTTTTCATTGCTTATACATATTTAAATGATTTTTTACTACTGACATTCATCCTAGTAGGGGTTTTTCTTCCTCCCATTAGGAGGTTTGATTCCTCAAAAATCACTGGTAATGAATGAAAGGTAAATGGTTTTTGTGTGCTTTACTTCTTCAATTAATATCAGTAACAAAAATACTTGTTGTACAAGAAAACAACTCTAAATCGTAGCCTCTGATAAAATCTATACATCCTAAGCAACCAAAATAAGGGGTTAGAATAATTAACTAGGCATTTCAGGAAACCCCTGGGGTTTGTTTTAAAGATTGCCGTTTTAAGTGGGCATTCTGAATGAGTTTCACTTTTTCCATAGCATGTGTATTTTCATCTTTATTTTCCAGCTCTCTTCTTTAGTGTATACTTTATGCATCTACACATAAAGTACACACTTATTTAGATACACAACCACTTGTCACATCCCTCAAAATACTATTTAGCAAAGGCCAGGTTTGTTTAATACAGCATGCAAATGCACATGGATATTGAATTTCTCCCTGGCCATAAGGCTTTTATGTTAGGTTTGTTTAGAGCAACAAAAACACTTCAGCCTTGACTTAGAGATTCACTCATCAGGGATGATGAAACCACTCTCCAGACTCTCCAGAAGCACTGTAAACAAAGAAATACTTGTTTTTACATGCTAATTTCATTTCAGTGCCACTTGATAAAAAAAAGTCACAAGATAAAATTCATAAAAATTATTATACAATTTCAAGTTCTATTTGACCAATCTTTGCCATTACTGACACTACGTAAGCCCTCATTTGCTTGCATGGTTTCACATTAACAATTCCTTTTTGAGGGAGGATAGCAATGAACAAAATAAGAAACTTATAGATAAATTTGTTCTCATCTGAAAAAATATTCTGTTTGGCACTTTTATTTTTTTAATTTTTTTATTTTTTAAAGATTTTATTTATTTATTTGACAGAGAGAGAGACAGCAAGAGAGGGAACACAAGCAGGGGGAGTGGGAGAGGGAGCAGCAGACTTCCCGCGAAGCAGGGAGCCCAATGTGGGACTCGATCCCAGGACCGTGGGATCATGACCTGAGCCGAAGGCAGACGCTTAACGACTGAGCCTCCCAGGCGCCCCTGTTTGCTATTTTTAATTCAATCCTATGACAGAATTAATGTTCCAGCTATGAAATACAGTAAAATGTGTCATGCAGTCATTTGATAAGAAAATTTGTGGAGGTCATTTTACACAAATTTTAGTAACAAAGAAATATGGCAAGTATAATATATAACTTAATTTCTAAAAGAAATAAAATTCAAGTAGCATATGAAATTTTTACGTTTTTGGATTTCAGGATTTGATGTCAATTTAAAAATTTTTGGTGTTGATTTCTAACATAACATTTACATTATTTTAAAATAAAACAATAGTTTCATTTAACATAAATGCTTAACAAAAGAGTCCAATATGAATCAGATTGGATAAGAAAAGATACTGTCAACTTCCCTAGGGATTTCAAAATACATCTTAAGCTTTTGAATTTAATGAGAGGATAGGTAACTTAATTTCTCCTTCATGAAACAGGTCAGCTTAGGTTGATGAAGTAACATGTACCCCAAAGTGAACATTTGAGAGATTTAGAATAATAATGAGGACATATTTGGTATTTTTATGTCCAGAGATAAATTCCATCTCATTTAATATACTTTTTTAAATTAGGATTTACCAAAAGAGAAAAAAAGAACCTTGTAAATTCTTAACCCTATTCTTTATGGTTATAAAAAGTTGACTTGATCTGAGAAGGCAGATTTAAGGCTTTATTAATACTTTTTTTGCAAAGGGTTTGTTTAACCATGTTTTCAAATCATCATTCATTAACACTCTTGAAAATTAAAATGTATTGCTGAATGACAATTATTTCTTCTGTTGGTATTTAATGCATTTTTTTTCTTTTCTCCCCAGCATACAAACATTTTCTGACTCCATCTTACTACATCAGGTTTTTATTTCTTTTCACACTTTGTCATATTTTGCTTTCCCTAAATCCTTTAGCTCTCTAGTTGTGTCACTGTTTGTTTTCCCTCATCAAATATGTCCTAGAAAACATTGCGAGAAACAACTTATCCACCTAGATTTTTATTTAACTCTTTTCATGCCCATTTTAGCATTAAAAAAATAAATGAAAAGAATGGTTTTCATTTTAGCGATTTGTAAGCAGCCTTATCCTCATTTTCTCTTCCAGGTTGTTGTGAATGCTCTTGTTGGAGCAATTCCCTCTATCATGAATGTACTCTTGGTGTGTCTCATCTTCTGGCTGATCTTTAGCATCATGGGTGTGAATTTGTTTGCTGGCAAGTTCTACCACTGTGTTAACACGACAACGGGTAACATGTTTGAAGTTAGTGAAGTCAACAATCTGAGCGACTGTCAGGCTCTTGGCAAGCAAGCTAGATGGAAAAACGTCAAAGTAAACTTTGATAATGTTGGCGCTGGCTATCTTGCATTGCTTCAAGTGGTAAGTTGCCACTGTATGAGTTCTGGAAACATTTTCAAAATGTTTTACAAAAAATCATTTCTCTGATGTTCTTTGTTTGAATAATTAATATCTGACAGTACAAAAGTAGTTGATGATAACACTTATACTATTAACTTAACTTGACTTTAAGATGTTTTGCAGTTACTTTAATATGTATTTCCCCAGTTGTTCAGCTTTTAGTATGTTTTAATATGGCATTATATTCCTGCTTCCCGGTTTTTTTCTTATTATATTACTGAGTGCTACTACACTGTTTTTTGTTTTTCTTAGCAATCATTGCCAAAGGAGCAATTTTATATGTTAAAATAACAATGTACATATTTTAGTGATGAATTAAATGTTTACATTATTAGCCAGAAAATTTACTGTACTAACATTTAAGGGGTATGGTTCTACTATTTGCAGAAATACGAATCTTATGGAGATTTCAAAATGTATGATGTTTAATAATTTTGACTTAATTGACCACATATTAACTAATCAGTAATTCACTAATGAAAACAATTGAGTTGTGTTTAAACACACTATAGGTTTGAATCACAGAGCTTATATTTTGGTATAGAAAGGATTTGAGACTGAGATGGGTATTTTAAGAATCAAGCCTCTAGTTAAATTTTTGTGTAGAAAAAAATTAGTATCTTCCAAGAGAAACAAAGAAAATGAATTCCAGACTCTAAATACAATCATATTCTACTTCAATTCAATTCCTTTCAATCTCTTGATAGAGAATTGTATTATATCACACAAAAACTTACTTGTAGTAACACTATCAGATTTTCATATGGTAAAATGGCATATTCTTGGATTAGGTTTTCATGCAGAATTCAAATATGTATTGTTCACAGGCCACATTCAAAGGCTGGATGGATATTATGTATGCAGCTGTTGATTCACGAGATGTAAGTATCACTCAAATACATTTATAGTTACAAGATTTTCCATAGTGAACATTTGTAATAATTTAAGTGAATGACCAAGAATTTTATACTAGATGCAATCAGGACATTTATAATTGCATACAGAAATGATCCTCGGGGCGCCTGGGTGGCTCAGTCGTTAAGCGTCTGCCTTCGGCTCAGGTCATGATCCCAGGGTCCTGGGATCGAGTCCCACATCGGGCTCCCTGCTCGGCGGGAAGCCTGCTTCTCCCTCTCCCACTCCCTCTGCTTGTATTCCTTCTCTCGCTGTGTCTCTGTCAAATAAATAAATAAAATCTTTAAAAAAAAAAAAAAGAAATGATCCTCTTAAGTTAATGCACTTCAATAAAGATGATATTTTGATTAATATATGTCTGATATACATATCTAATATGGATCAGATGCATGGATCAGAAGACATCAAACTGGTCCATAAGTAAGACTCAAGATCAAGAACATTGCTCATGAGAAAGTAACTTGCCTCTCCCTATTCCTGGACAGTATGATAAATCAGAGTTTGTGAAGTTAACTTCCAAAAATATAATGGAAAAAGCAAGCAAGTTTCAGGGAAACTCAATTTTGAAAATAGGAATTAAAAAAAATTCCTCAGAACATATATGCATTCCTCTTAGAAGTTGATGTTCTATTATTAAAGCCTTATCTTCAAGAACCAACATCTCCAGACCACCCAAATTTAAAATGCTGCAAAAAAAAATTATAAAACTAATAGGTTCAAAACATTTCTTGTTATACCCCTGTTATTTACTCTAAAAAAAATGTACAGGTAAACCACAATGGAAAAATAGATTCAAAAACAAGCATAAAAATTATAAACTTTCATTATCCTAGATCATACTAGTTTGAAAAAAGAACTTTTTTGCAGAACAGTAACTCAGGGAAAGGCAAAAATAACTCTAGATTAACAACACTCACCAAATTGTTAACTTAGTTTAAGTATTTATTATGTTTTTAAATATTATTTTAATATTTTCAATATTATTTAGGTAAAACTTCAGCCTGTATATGAAGAAAATCTATATATGTATTTATACTTCGTCATCTTTATCATCTTTGGGTCATTCTTCACTCTGAATCTATTCATTGGTGTAATCATAGATAACTTCAACCAACAGAAAAAGAAGATAAGTATTCCTTAGCTCTCAGCTTTCCCCATTCTGAGGTTCTGACTGTTGTACCGCCAAATAATCAGGATACCCATAGTTAAGATAGACTTAGATCATTTTTATATTCTTTTCAGTTCACTATGTGGTCAGTTCAGCTGCGGAGTTTCCAGCCTCTAGCTGGTGGCTCCTCTCTAGGTTCATCCTCTGCAGAGCTGCTATAGTGTCTTTGTGACAAAAAATGTGACCACTGCTTCAAAGCATCCAGTGGGTCTCCTCTAATGCTTACCCTTGCTTACAGAGAATTTCAGGAATTATTTCCACCCAGTTTTCTAGCTTCATTTTCTTTCACAACACATCTCTATATCTACTTCCCTACTCCTCAGTCATTATCTGCCATCACCCTATCACACGTTACACACATAGCTACATGGATTTTTTTGCCCTTTCTGTACAAGCCATGCTCTTGTACCTCCATGACTTTACATAGGGTATTTCCTTTTCCTGGAATGCTTTGCCTAGCATACCTCTAATCATCTGTTAAGGCCTAGCTTAAGGGTATCGTCCTATATAAAGCCTGTTTCTGAGTCTTCAGGGTTTATTTTGATCTCTGCAATACTTTTTTATATATCCTTATACATTTTCCACCTGTTTTCATTTTCCTACTCCACGTGACAACAAGATATTGGTGTCTCATATATCTATTTAATTCTGATAAGTTACATTTTCTAGCACATGGAAAGTACTTAAAATTATTGAATAAAGAAGGAAAACAGTGAAATGGGCTAAGAAAACATTTTTTCTTTCACAAAAATATATTTGAGACTCCTGAGCCTCCTTCTAAACATAATATAATCAAATTAGGATCCTGTCCTAATCAGAGATTTATGTGATTATAGGTTTTACATAATAGTAAAGTCCTCAGAATTTCACATAAAGGAGAAAAGCAGTCTGCTTTTATATATATATGGGATAATTTCCATTTAAAAATTGAGAAAAGACTAAAGACTCAGAAATATTTTTGTATACGTGCTGTTGTAACACATGTTCAGATTATAACCAGTTTTATACTGTATCTTTACTTTGGAGGTCAAGACATCTTTATGACAGAGGAACAGAAAAAATACTATAATGCAATGAAGAAACTTGGATCCAAGAAACCTCAGAAGCCCATACCTCGGCCAGCAGTAAGAATTACTCATCTTCTTTAATATTCTAAACCTTATTTCCATATGATGAAATTGGCAGTGCTCTGGATGAGAACATACTGAGTGATATCACCACTGTATAACATGCCCTAATTGTAAAGTTCATATTGTTTAACACCATTCACAACTGCCACACTCAATAAGAATTCCTAAGTTCTTAAAAAGGAGGTAATGCTCTTTACAGTTTGTCAATTGAAAACGTCCAACTTGAGGTTCCCAATAACTGCTTCCAAAGCAGCATTCGTATTCCTTCTGCCACCTACTGCTTCCAAGAATGTACCCAACCTTGTTACATGGCACCCTCTTGCCATTTAAATAGATGGAGTCTGGAAAACTCCCACCCCACCCCATCACTTCCCTCTATACTATTTGTTCTCTCCATTTGTATGACTAGAAAATACTCTTAACCTTCTTGGGAAGGAAAAGGGCATCATCAAAATAGTTTGTTTCACCAAATACAGAGAAAAGAAAAAGGCTTAATCAGAATGCTTACTATGTAGAGCTTCATAATATATGAAAAGACATAATAACGATGGATTATGTTCATAGAGCTGTACTCTAACTTATCTATCTTAGACGGGTAAGGAATAAGGAAACTGAGGCCCCCAAAAAATCGTACCCAAAGTCATAAAGCCTGTAATTGCCAGAACTGGGAGTTAACAAGCCCTCATGAATCCTATTAATGACTTCAGTTTACCATATTTTTAAGAGTTTTGGAGTTGAGGTTGGAAGCGACCAAGGGGGGAGGTAGGGCAGGATACACAAAACACCATAAATCTGCTTTACTGAAGGTCATTTAAATATATTTAAAAGAAAGAAACTTGGTCAATTCATGAAATTGATTTTCAGTAAGCTATGAAATTTTATTTTATATTTTTATTCTAAATTATTAAAAATTTATTTTCCTAATAGAACTATATTTCATGACCATAAATGTATGTGACTCCTGAGATGATTGCTAATAAGACAAAGAAAAAATGTCATGCATTTTTGTTGAAGCATAGATAAAGAACAGATGAAGAAAGATAGATAAATAACAAATACACAGACACACATAGTTAGAAGAGGTAGAATAGATAATGACGGACATATTTGGAAAGAGGGAGAGATGGAAATAATATATAATATATATAATATACATATAATATATATGATATATAATATATATCATATATATAATATATAAACCAAAATTCCTAAAGTATTGATAAATGAATTAGGGTATTCATCCATCTAAAAGTCTGTCTGTATCAACCTACTTTGTAAATCTTCATTATGTTTTCATAATTTTTTTGTAAAAATTATAATTTTTTTTAAATCAAGCAAAGCCCATGCATATTAACAGCCAATTGCCACCAATTTATGTCTTACTGAGTTTTGTCTTCCCATGGAACTTAAATATATCAAATACGTTTTGTTCTTATCATATGACTTTTTCATTTCCTTCTCGTATTTTAATGTGAAGAGACATGGAGCACAAAGAATTGTTTGGACTAATGTGAGAAGGGTGTATATCTCATGGCCATATATGGAAGGACTTCACCTGCGGTTTTACTAGATCATTATTTATGAAATATGCACATTAACCTTCTCTCTCCTCTCTCTCTTTCTAGAACAAATTCCAAGGAATGGTCTTTGATTTTGTAACCAGACAAGTCTTTGATATCAGCATCATGATCCTCATCTGCCTCAACATGGTCACCATGATGGTGGAAACTGATGACCAGAGCAAATATATGACTCTAGTTTTGTCCCGGATCAACCTTGTGTTCATTATCCTGTTCACTGGAGAATTTGTGCTAAAGCTCATTTCTCTCAGATACTACTACTTCACCATCGGCTGGAACATATTTGATTTTGTGGTTGTGATTCTCTCCATTGTAGGTAAGAATAGTTTAATTACAGAGAGGTACCATTGTAGGTAAAGCTCCCCAAAGCCTGACAGCTGTGCAACACGGAAATGAGATCTGAGAATGTTAATGTATAATTCTAAAGTTTACCACTATTGCTCATTTTCCTCTAACTGAAGAATGTAGGTATTCAAAAATAGAAAACAATATATTTAGAGATTTCAGAAATAATCTTTGTTTGTAATCAGCACATCTCATGTGTGGGGATAACTTTCCATAGTAAATGAGCGTATATAATCTTAAATTGCCATGACACTCTGAGATTATTTAATTTGTTGGACTTTCAAAAAATCCCATATTGGTTTATAATGTTATAGAATCATTTAATAAAATTCTGTAATCTTTAATTACTAATATTAAGGAGTGGACCCAAATATTTAGTAAAAGTTTATACTTGTAACAATCTTGCTGTTATCATAAACCTTGCAAAGATAAAGCATTCATATAAACATAAAATATTCACTCTTTAGCTGATTTCTATATTTTTCTATAGGCATGTTTCTGGCTGAGCTGATAGAAAAATACTTTGTGTCCCCTACCCTGTTCCGAGTGATCCGGCTCGCCAGGATTGGTCGAATCTTGCGTCTGATCAAAGGGGCCAAGGGGATCCGCACGCTGCTCTTTGCCCTGATGATGTCCCTTCCTGCCTTGTTTAACATCGGCCTCCTGCTCTTCTTGGTCATGTTCATCTATGCCATCTTTGGAATGTCCAACTTTGCCTATGTTAAAAAGGAAGCTGGAATTGATGACATGTTCAACTTTGAGACCTTCGGCAACAGCATGATCTGCTTGTTCCAAATTACCACCTCTGCTGGCTGGGATGGATTGCTAGCACCTATTCTCAACAGTGCACCACCTGACTGTGATCCTGACACAATTCACCCTGGAAGTTCAGTTAAGGGAGACTGCGGGAACCCGTCTGTCGGGATTTTCTTTTTTGTCAGTTACATTATCATATCATTTCTGGTTGTGGTGAACATGTACATCGCTGTCATCCTGGAGAACTTCAGTGTTGCTACTGAAGAAAGTGCAGAGCCCCTGAGTGAGGATGACTTTGAGATGTTCTATGAGGTTTGGGAAAAGTTTGATCCCGATGCCACCCAGTTTATAGAGTTCTCCAAGCTCTCTGATTTTGCAGCTGCCCTGGATCCTCCTCTCCTCATAGCCAAACCAAACAAAGTCCAGCTCATCGCCATGGACCTGCCCATGGTGAGTGGGGACCGGATCCACTGCCTCGACATTTTATTTGCCTTTACAAAGCGTGTTTTGGGTGAGAGTGGAGAGATGGATGCCCTTCGAATACAGATGGAAGACCGGTTCATGGCATCAAACCCCTCCAAAGTCTCCTATGAACCCATCACAACCACTTTAAAACGCAAACAAGAGGAGGTGTCTGCTGCTATCATTCAGCGTAATTTCAGATGTTATCTTTTAAGACAAAGGTTAAAAAAGGTATCAAGTGAATATAACAAAGAGGCAATTAAAGGAAGGATTGACTTACCTATCAAAGAAGACATGATTATTGACAAATTAAATGGAAACTCCACCCCAGAAAAAACAGATGGAAGTTCCTCTACCACATCTCCTCCTTCCTATGATAGTGTAACAAAGCCAGACAAAGAAAAGTTTGAGAAAGACAAACCAGAAAAAGAAAGCAAAGGGAAAGAGGTCAGGGAAAATCAAAAGTAAAAAAGAAACAAAGAATTATCTTTGTGATCAATTGTTTACAGCCTACGATGGTAAAGTCTATGTGTCAACTGGACTCCCAGAGGAGGTCTATGCCAAACTGACTGTTTTAATAAATACTCATGGTCAGTGCCTATAACAAGACAGTGACCTCTCCATCACTACAACTCTGTGAGTCAGGGTATCAACAAGATTGACAAGAGGTTGCTGTCTTCATTACCAGCTGACACTGCTGAAGAGAAACTCATTGGCTATCTAGACTGTAGGGATAATTGTGCAAAGTGATCGTTGTAACTACGCCAAACACCTTTAGTACAGTACTTGCATCCACTCTATTTTTAACTTCCATATCTGCCATATTTTTACAAAATTTGTTCTAGTGGATTTCCTTGCTCCCTAATTCATAGTTTATTCATAATACTATGTCACTATTTTTGTAAATGCAATTTAAGTTGAGAAAAAAGCATATAAGAGCCCTGTGTTCCTACTCCATAAGTCTCTCGAATAATTAGCAAAAGTGTTTTGAGAGATAAAATTCGTGCTCAAAACCAGAAAAAAATATTCTAATGTCAATAATTTCAGGTACTTCCGTTTTCTAGATGGCTTTAATTTTGAAAGTGTTTTAGTCTGTTACATTTGTTTATATCTGAACAGTTATGTGCCTGTAAAGTCTCCTCTAATTTTTAAAGGATTATTTTTATGCAAATATTGTTTCCGCAAGTGCAAATTTTATTCTAAGTTCCAGAGCTCTATATTTAATTTGGTTAAATGCTTTCCAAAAACAAAATGAAAAAAATCTAGAAAAAGTATATCTAAAGTGTCACTTTAGAATAGTTGTCCCACTTTCTGCTGCAGTATTGCTTTGCCATCTTCTACTCTCAGCAAAGCTGATATTTTATGTCAATTCAACACACCCTGTTATGTAAATAGTTATTTTATCCTGCGGTGCATGTTTGGGCAGGAATATATATATATAATATACATATATTATATATATATATATATATATTCTGCTAAACAACATCTTTTAAATCAAATATGTACCACAGTGTATGTGTCTTTTGCAAGCTTCCAACAGGGATGTATCCTGTACCATTCATTAAACATAAATAGTTTGAAGACTATCACTAATGCATGTTAATATTGCCTATGCTGCTCTATTTTACTCAACACATTCTTCACAAGCCTTGGTTAGAAGTCACATGTTGGTAGAGTGAATTCAAACAGCTCTATCCAGTATGTCAAGCAGAATAGCTTGCAGTTACTTAAAAGTATCTTTACTTTTGCATTTTTAATTCAACTTGAATGTCACATGGTGTCTCTCTATATTTCAAAGAAACACACTGAGTACTGCCTATTGTCAAAACCTATACTTCATATTTTGCTAAAAATATGTCCAAAACTTGTTTAAATATAAATAATGTAAAAATATGATCAATTTTATTTGTTGCATTTTGTACATAAGAAAATTATTTTCAGGTTGATGACATGGCAATTTATTTTACTTTATGCTTTTGCTTTTTATTTTTAATCACAACTCCAAACTTTTGAATCCGTAAGACTTTTCAATGAATAATTTCCTAAAATAAAAGTTAGACAATGGGTTTTGTGGATTTCTTTGTTATAATATATTTTCTACCATTCCAATAGGAGATACATTGGTCAATATTCAAACTTAGATCATTTTTTACCAACTATGGTTGCCTCAATATTACCCATTATTCATGGAAATTTTTTTTTACTCAAACTTTTGTAGTATTTGCTTATGCAGACTAGTCTTATTTTTTTAATTCTTGCTACACTAGAGCTATTAGAGGAATAACATGGGCTCTGTCCTTTTTAGCCATGAACAAAGTGGCAAAGTTGTGCAATTACCTAACATGATATAAATTTTTGTTTTTTGCACAAACCAAAAGTTTAATGTTAACCTTTTACGAAACTATTTACTTGTAGTGTACTAATGAACTGCATGCAGGGAATTGCTATTACTAAAAAGAATGGTGAGCTACGTCATTATTGAGCCAAAAGAATAAATATTTCATTTTTTATTATATTTAACTTCTTGGCCTCTGTTTTTTTTATTGATGGATGTTTAAAATATACATAATTAATGACACCTGTACTTGATATGACATTTGTATACATAAAAGTTCACATGGATTTTATCTCAACCTAATATATGATCCACCAAGGAGTACTACAGAATAAAAGCTATGAAAAGCAGTTTTTGTGAACTTTTTTGTGTGCAAAGGATCAAATCCACATGTTCCAACTTGCAGTTTCAATAATAGTAGCCATTGACAATGGTTGTCAATACCAATTACTTCCCTTGGCTGTAAGCATTTTAATCTCAACTCCTCTCAGTGTTATTGATACCACCGCCAAATTTCTTGGTAGGTAGCAAAGGTTACATACTTTGTTATTTAAATGTGTTTTATGAACTCCTATTTACATATAAAGTATTAATGATGCAGTGATTGAGAATTTATGTTAACTTTTTTTGGGGGCCCTTGGATTTATGTCATCTCAAAACAAAATGTTTATTCTCAGTGGAAAACCCCCGTTGTTAAGGCGAAGTAGATCTAAATATGCATTTCATAATTTCCTCAATGTAAATGATATAAACTGACTTCAGAGGAATTCATTGGCTACTTTCTGCTAAAGTCAATTTTCAGATCTCACCAACACCACAGAGAAGCCAAGTATAACTTTGCAAAACCCTTAGCCTTTTTAGGCATCCCATCATATAATCTTAGCCAAGTATTCTATTAATTGATATGCATTATAGCTAAATGATTGTCTTCTAAAATAATCACAAGAGCCTTCAGCTGAAAAAAAAATACTTTAAAAAATATACCTATCTAGCTAACAGATAATCTGAAAATACTGTTCAAATATAGAGCTGTTAATATAGTTTAATAGATTTTTTAAAAAACTAATTCCACAAGAAAAATCCTTCTATTATTGAACTTCATGACAAAATTGTTTAAAATAACATACTAGAAAAAAATTTAAAAATAAAATAACATACTAGAAATAATCAACTTAGACATAGAAATAATACTATGAAATTAAGGAAACTTAAACTCACCAATAAGTGATACTGAATGGCTGCCCTTTAGTGAGGGAAGAACATTTGTATGGAGGAAGAAAATGGGCATTCCAGTTTTTAAATATTATAGCCAAAAGATAATGGCTATATAAACTTATATGTTTACTAATTTCCAAATAACTAGAATACAATAAAATAACATGAAAATCACTCTTGTGCATTTCAAACCATTCAGTAGTAATCATAAAGAAAGTTCTTGCTGACCATTTTTGCAGAAATGGAAAATACCAAAAAGACTGAAACAAGAGTTCCAACACTTGTCTTTCAATATCAGTTCTGGCATCAAATTAGCAATGTTAATTCAGACAAATCAAATTCTGGCCCCTCAGATTCCTCCTCTGTTGAAAGAGGCTATTGTCTCTAATAGGTCTTTAATTCTAAAATCCTATGTTCAAAGTCAACTTGTCTATTCAAAGTGATTAATCTTCCCTATACGGGTAATACTTAAGGAAAAAAATATGAATTGTCAATAAACCTTTTAAAATATTATTCAGATAAGCTTAAATAGACAGAAACACATTTGGCTTTGACCTTAGCCCCATTAAGAAGAAAGTTTTCTTGTCCTCAAAGATTTTATGCCACAAAGTGAAGGATGCGTTAAATAAATGAAAGAACGGCTATCATTTCTTCTTAATGGTGTTATAGATTTTTAAAAGACAACACCTGATATATAACAAAAATGAGGGGCACCTGGGTGGCACAGTCAGTTAAGCATCTGCCTTTGACTTGGGTCATGATCTCAGGGCCCTGGGATCGAGCCCTGCATGGAGCTCCCTGCTCAGTGGGGAGTCTACTTCTCCCTCTCCCTCTGCCACTCCCCCTGCTTGTGTTCTCTCACTCTCTCTCTCATATAAAAATATAAATAAAATCTTTATATATATGTGTATATATAACAAAAGTGGTTAAAACAAAGCCACTAAAAATTTACAACTTTACTTGTAAAATTGTCTAGAACCACAAGTGTACTTGCTTCTTGTCATTAACATCTGCCACAAAACTTCAAGACGGGCTTAAGTCTTATATTCCCTAGAGTACTGTTTTTATTACAAAAGAGTAAAAGACACACATCATTTTCTTATACTAACATCTAAAACATTTTATTTTTTTCAAAAACTTTTGTTGTTACTGAGTCCTATGGATCCTTTTGTCAGCAGAGCTTCTCCTCTCCTCTTCTCTGCAGAATCTCTGTTCTCCATAATTTAGCCAGATGACATATTGAAGTACATATCTGAAATCTTCTAAACCTGACAGCACCTCATTGCTCAGAAAATCAACTTCCCCTTCCATTATGGAGTAAAAACAAACAAATAAATCCCTGTGTAATATACCCCTTACCTATTCTACTGTAACATCCATCATTGGCCACCACTCAACAACTCATGCCTCCTACCCCTCAGAATCACACACTCTCTAGTTACATAATGTTTTGACATCTCTCCTGTCTTGGACATCTGTCTACTGTCTTTGCCTGAAATGTCCTACCTTCTCTTTTTTCCCCTGGCAAATCATTGCTTATCTTTCAAGAACTGTCTCAAGTATCATCATCATTTAGGAAGCTTCCTCAGAGTTCCCCAAGTAGAAATAAATCATTTCTCCTCAGATTTCCTAATGTGATCATACTGTGCTGTATTACCTCCTTTGCATTTATCTCCTCTTAATAGATTGTAGCACATCCAATGTATGGGACACATGTCATTAATTTCGTCACCTTTTTTTCCTTTAGGACTAGCAGAATATGTGACTATCAATGTTCAGATATATTGCTAGTATAATTGATTCTTGCAGAAACACACAAATATATTTAGGTGCCAAACAAGAAATACTAATAAACTTTTTCAGGCCTTATGGAGGACAATTCTCAAATTTAGTAACATGTAAATTCAGACAATCCACCTTTATAATCAGCTAAATATATACAAATATCTTGGAAATACCGTACACCTAGTAACTATGTTTACAAGTAATGTTTTTTACCTAACAAACACTACTGAAACAAAAACTCTATCAGTGAAATAATTAACTCTATCAGTGAAATAATCTTATTGAATTATCTTCAATAGATACATGTTGCATAGATAAAAACAGACTCAGGTTTCATCTCACTATCTTGATGTAGATAACCTTAACTTTAATAATTCATGAGTACACTGGTAATACACTAATAACTTCAGGAATTTGCTAGATATATGTATATTTCACCATATATTGGGACAACTATCCTAACCTCCCCCCATCATAAAATATCTAAAAATGGAGGGTAAAATATTGTTAAAAGACCATTTTTAATGTACAGTTGGGCTTACAAGAAAGCAAGGGAAATTCCCTGGGGCTAATGGAGAAAGGCAAGCAAACACTGAAGTCAGATGACACTTGGTGGGCTTCTATTGATCCCAGTGACCTACAGCTTGGTTTAAATTGCCTACATACAAGAAACAGAACACAAAGATTTGGCTCCAGTATGGGTTAGAGATCCTGAATAAATTCAAGGCATATAAAAGCTACACACTTTTTTCCCCAAAAGCTACACATTTAATAAAAGCATTTTCAAAAATCAATATTGCAAAAGCAGACAGGAAGGCAATTTGGCAAGCAAATTTTTCTGTCTTGCCTTAACTCTGAGTTTATGCAGAAAAGCCTCTCTTCAGACTCGTCGCTATTGGTCCAGAATCCACCTGGGTTTATGGCCCAAATTTATATTATCTGCCTAGTACAGAATACTACAAGCCAAAAATTCAAGTTGCTAGTGGTGCCAGGCTTCTGTGAGAAACTAACTGAAATCCTTTCTGAAAGACCACACCTCAGCCCAGACCTCAAAGATTTCCCACAAATAAAAGTTCAAGAAACATGAAATCACAGTAAGAGAAATAACCAAACAAACAATGAGAAAACAAAGCTGCCAGATGAGAGACGGAGAACTTATCAACAAATTCTTCAGATATAGGATATAAGTATATTTAATAGCATTTTAAAAAGAGGAATTAGGGGCGCCTGGGTGGCTCAGTCAGTTAAGCGTCTGCCTTTGGCTCAGGTCATGATCCCAGGGTCATGGGATCGAGCCCCACATCAGGCTCCCCGCTCAGCGGGGAGCCTGCTTCTTCCTCTTCTTCTGCCTGCTGCTCTGCCTACTTGTGCCCTTTATCTATCAAATAAATAAAATCTTTAAAAATAATAATAAAAAATAAAAAGAGGGATTAAAGTATGAATAATGGTGAGAAATAAAATTTATAAGACATACTTGAATGTTATGCCATTTCTAGAAATAAAGAAAGTAAAACCATCTGTAAGACTTAAATATCGGGTTACATGGAACTGAAGAGAGAAATCATGAATTAGAATCTGAAAAACTTACAAGCAAAACAGCAGAGGCAAAAAGGTAAAATGTATGAAACCCTTAAGAGAATTTCAGTAAAGGTGAGAAGGTACAAAATACCTGGAATTCCAAAAGAAGAATTAACATATTAGGCAGAAGTGAGTATTTGATTACAAAATGATTAAGAATTCCTTATTATTGATAATAGACACAAATTCTAACATTCAGGAATCACAAAAATCCTAACTAAAATAAAAGAAAACCATATCCAGGCAACTCTTAATAAAATTTCAAGACAATAAAGTACAAGAGAAAACCTTAAAACTAAATAGGATAAGAAGACAAAACAGAACAATTCAACTATAACAGCAATAACAAAAATATTGTAAGAAAATGTCCGTTAAAACTAGTATTTTATGCCCAGAAAAAAAAATATCTTTAAGAATAAAAAAAGAGGGGTGCCTGGGTGGCTCATTCAGTTAGGCGTCTACCTTCATCTCAGGTCATGATCCCAGGGTCCTGGGATCGAGCCCCACATCAGGCTCCCTGCTTGGCCAGGAGTCTGCTTCTCCCTCTCCCTCTGCCCCCTCTCCGCTCACGCTTTCTCTCTCTCTGTCTCATTCAAATAAATAAATA